TATCAGATTTAATCAAGAATTGGATTTCATTAAGAGGAGGTTAATGTTATCAATGGCCTAATTCAGCTTGGTCTCAAGACCTTTTGAGCCACTAGCACAGACCCCCCCCCCCCAACAGTGCATATGTAAAAATGATTCATGTTGGCCATTTTTATTCTCATTCCCCCATTTTATTCTCATTCCTTCCTTCCTTCTCACCCTGAGTAATGTAATGAAAGCCAGACATTTCACTGTTCATCCTTAGCACTAGATAGTTTATGAACAAATCTGAAAAAAGAAATCAGTTTTATACCCAGCTTCCTGCTGTGAGAACAGTTTATTTTATTTGACTGTCTGGTTGAAGTTAAATTAATGCTACCTTTGTTCTTCTACAAGTTGAACAACAAACCTGATAATTTTTAAAGGACATTAAACTAGACAACATATATTGGGTGGCATAAATCTCTTAACTAGCCACCAATTGGTAGTAATTAAGGAGTTGGTGCTTGCATTCTCATTGTACGCCAGTTGCATAAATTGGCATGCACTGAAGAATAAAACATTTTGACTCCGTAACTAATAAAAAATCATTGGTGCCATTTAAACCACTTGACCCATGCCATGCTGGCATATATCAGTAATAGGATTCTAGCATTCCTGCTGCTTTCACCTTTTCTTTTCTTTTTTTTTCTTTTCCAGCAAGTTTTGTTTTCTAATGATCTGTTCAAAGTATGACAGCCTCAGTTTCATCATCTTTACTCATAGAGACAGTTCAGGCTTGATTTGATCTAACTTGACTTGTTTGTCTGCTGATGGTCCAGGGTACATATGAAGCTCTCCTCCATCACCATATACAGTAAAGGAAGAATTGATTTTTCCCCCTGCCGGCTTTCTTCAGTTTCCAGCTTTCAGATGGGTACATAATAACTGAAAACACAATTGTGTTGATTATATTGGTCTTATCTCTAGTGACACATCCTTAATGATCTCCAGTGAAACTACACTTAATGATCTCCTCTAGATCTTCCATAGCTGCCTCCCTAGGTCTCAGTCTTCTTCTGATTTCTTCATTTGGTTTGACAGTTGAACCAAGGTATACAAAATCTTTAACAATTTCAATTTCTTCAGTGTCAAGTTACGCAATTCTTCTGTAATTTTTGTCTTAATGTTCAACTGTAGCCTATTTTTGCACTTTCTTCTTTCACCGTCTCCTTAGAGAGGTCATCCCACTAGGGGAAGAAGCCAAATGTAGTTCTCAGCATCCACCACCTTTCAATCTAGACTGGGTGAGATCTAGTAGGTTTGTAGTGGGCAACTATGGACAAGCTTCTGACCCTAGATTACCAATTACTCATTTATTTTAGCTTAAAACTCTTTAGCTGTATACTTTGGTCCTTGCACACCAGCCTCACCAAGTAGGACAACCAAATAACCCAAAATAGCAAATAAAGCCCTTGTGGAGATGACACTTTCTTTAAGCACTCTCACCCTTGCCACCAAGAATCACACTGGGGTAAAATATAGAATATTTGTTCAAAAAGAGTAAAAAGTTGTAAAACAAAGAAAATACAAAAAATACAATTGTACTGGTTAAATGCAAAGCATCTACTGTAGGTATTAAGTAGGCTTCTATAAGCCTTTCCCGTAAAACAATGCAATACTTACTAACTAGTAGCTTTACTATTTAATTGCTAGGCTATTACTGTATAAGTTACCATGATTAAGTCTCCAATCCATCATTGAAGGCTGTAAACCTGTCCTCCATATCCTTCTCCAACTTACGCTCACATACCAACTTCTTTCACCTTCATCAGCAGTCACTTCAAGTGATTCCTGCTTCCTGCTTTGTGCTGACGTTACTAAAGATGGATTAAATTAAATCTCTTTCAGTGCTGAAAGGTTTTTGTCCCTTTGCATTGTCACACCCAACAATCACAGAATTAAAATGTGCATTTTGGAAATATAAGAGGTTACCTTTCCTTTTGGGTGAGCAATAATTTTTTTGATGTATGAAATCATCTGTAGAGCAATAGAACTATCAGACCTGTGGTGTCTAAATGTGAAGGTGTACTTTCTAGAATAAAGGAGAGACGAACAATCTCAGATAGTAGGCAAAACCCTGTTCATGTATAACATGAAGTTATGGCAGCATAAATGTGCGGGTCATTACATCCAACAACAAGGAACTGCACTCTTCAGTGGCACAAATAGTCCCATGTCCCTGGCATGACCAATTGCACCAAATGCTGGTGGAAGTGTTTCATGGATAGCCTCAGCACCATCATAACTATTCAAGGTACAACCTTGAACTGTGTGTGCAGAGTTATGCAATGGGATTTTGCCCATTAGTTCTATGGCTAGCTCATCAATTCTGCACTGGATGCAGCATTCTGAAAAACAGTCTAAGAGGCTTGTTATTGGGTAGGCATACAAAGATATGCAAATACATTTGTTCCTAGAAACAGAAAGATGGACGGAGGGAGAGGGAGAGAATGGGATGTACTTACCTTATACAGTACTGACACACTTCTTTTTTAAAAAAGAAAAGCCACTGTACAGTAAATGCTTTTAAGATGCATTTCCCCCACCCCTTTCTGCAATTTATCCACATTAAAAGATTACTGAAAATGCCTTGGCAGCTTGAATTCCATAGAAGTAGATGTAACTAGACTCTATTTGGAAGGAAGAATACCTAAGCAGCAAAGTGTTTAACTTGCCAGGTTCAATCCCTGGAAATCCCAGCCAAAAAAATGAAAAGCCAGGAAAGAAGTTTGCATGTTAACCGGAGAATTCGTACCGGTCAAAAGAGACGATGCTAAGCTAGGCTGACAGTTTAACTCAATAAATATTTGTATGGCCAAATATTTATTGTTTTTGCATATCTCAGACTGTAGACAAAGCCTAGTTTTGTTTTCTTTGCAACTCAGGCCTCACCTTTTTCATTAATGTGACCAATCCTTTCTAATTAGTATGTTTTAACCACAAACAGCCCTATATAACTGATGTAATAGCCATAATAGTCTCAATGGACCAAACAATAAAAATGTGGAAAGAATGTTGGCAATTGAATCAGCACACATTTGTGACTGCTTTGGTCTGCCTGTATGGCATTTGGGTTCCTCTGCGAACAAATCCTCTGATTAAATCATTAAAACACACACACACAAACCCCTCCTTCTAATTATCCACCACTGTAATGGTGAATATTGCAAATATCTACATGTGGGTGTATAGGAGTGGTATGTAGAGGCAGCGGTCTCGGGTAAAATGAAAACATCTCAACTGAAATTGAAAATGATTTAGGGCACAATATTTCAAGATTGTGCAATGGTACTCAGATTTAAAGGATCGGTGGGGTGAAATGATTGAAAACTGTGTCCCAATGTAAACTTCCGTTAAAGAAAAAACAACAACCCAGAAAAATAAATCAACACCAGAAGTCAGCCGAATCCTAATACAATAATTTAATGCCCATAGCTACCTTTAACCACTTTTCTTATAAAAAAAATTAATAACATAACATTTCCATTGTCATTTGTTGAGCAGCATTTGAAAAAGCAGCTGCTTGGGATCACATCCACAAGAAGGGCAATGTAACAGTGATGAGCTTAGGGTGGCCTGGCCAGGATAGACCCAGAAAAACTAGCTTGAGGAACCAAGTATTTTAATCTGTGCTCTGTAAGATTTCAAAACATTGTGTCTGAAAATTGAGAGATTAAAGGACTGGTTTCCAACCTTGGGTCTCCAGAGGTTTTTCGACTAGAACTCCCAGAAATCTTGGCCAGCACAGCTAGTGGTAAAGGCTTCTGGGAATTTTAGTCCAAGAACCTCTGGGAACCTAAAGCAGGGGACCATGGGATTGCAGGGAGTAGTTAGAAATATCTGTGGAGAAATTCACTATGTTATTAGGGCAGAAGGAAGGCCAACCTAGAAATCAAAGGTTTTAAAGAGGGATTGGGAACGACCAGCCATCCAGATGTGGCTGGATGGAAACTCCCATCAGCCCTTGCCAGCAAACCAAAGACGTGAGATCATGGGAGTTGCGGTTTAACAATATCTAGAGAGCTACACATTGTGTAAAATCAGGATAAGCTGTGTCAAGAATTTAGAGTTGCTTTCCAACAGACACAGAGTCAAGATTAGATGTGCCAGCTTCTCTGTTGGGAGCAAACAAGCTGGAAAGTGGTGCCTGCAAAGGTTCCAGGACTCTCTCCAAGAGGCAGCCAGGGAGACAATTTGTCCCAACCCCCAACAAAGCAATCCCTGTACTCCCTTAATGTTTGCAACACACTCGCCCTTCATCTGGCCCCACGCAATGATCACCACAACACTTAACACATAGTGGGTCTGATAGGAAGTGCTGTCTGGGCCTTCACCAACACTTCTAACTCCATCTGTGCAGCCCTGATTGTCTCTACGCCTTAACTAGAAAGGGTGCATAGTGTGAACTAAAAGGCAGGCAGCAGGAGCAATAGCAAAACCACACCTCTAGAATGCTTACTGCACCCCCTATGAAATATGAGACGTTGTGTGTTTAGGTTTCCTTTTTTTACTTCCCCAATGGCTGTCTATTTCTCCTACAGTTAAAATCTAAAGTATTGTTGCCACCCTCAGCTTATTCACCTGCTGGCAGTTCCCACGTTTCTCATAGACAGAATCTGGTCAGTCAGGTTTTGATGCTATAATAATACATCTCTTCTACACCCATCTTTGAAATCCAGGCACTGAAAAACCAGAGTATTTGACAGCACAGTCCATGTAAGTTTGTTCCTCGCCTTCTGTCTCATTCAGCTATGAGTAATGGAGCCGAATAAAGGCAACAGATAACAGAATATAAAAACTGAAGCATTTCCTTCTCTCATGCCACCTCCTCTTTCTCTCTCTGTCTCCCCCACCGCCTTTAAGGTGAAACTGGAGTGACCGGACTAGTTTTCCTGGTTTCAGGTGGAAGCCTAGGTGAGCCATATAGACTTTGGGGTAATGTAGTTCAATCTTGTTGAAGTGACTGATGCAGGGTGAATTGCAGAGCTGCAGTAAGACTCAGAGTCCCAGAAAGCATTGCGGTGACTCACAAAGGAAAGGTGTTTGCTGTTCAGATTTATAGAAACCCGCATGGAATCATCAAGAACATATTAACGTTGATACAGCTCCAAAGCAATGCCTTGATGAGAATAACTGTTGCAGTTTTAGGAGAGAGAGAGGAAAAGGTAAGTTTTTTAGTTAAATAATTATTTTTCAAACTTTCGGTACCTGTGAAATGGATGAGAGGGGTTTTGAGAGAAGAACAGGATACAGTATATAGATAGATCTGCTTCACACTCATAGTAAACTATGATGTGAAGTGTAAGTTTAAATTTCCAAAAAACTGGCTTCTGGCTGACACTCTGAAAGAAGTTTCTTATTCTTCTTTAGATGGGTAAGGTGTTTATTGGATCACGAATTGTTGACAATACCTTTTTATTTTAAAGAACAACGGCTAACTCTCAACGATGCCCTTACAATAATTTGTGAGCCTCTAACCAGTCTTTTAAAATAGAAAGTGTAATGTCTTCACAAATATTTTAGCCTGGGGTGTGTGGGATCTGGCTCTTCCTGGATATGTACTGTAAAAGTAATTCTTGAAACTTTAAAAATTATTATGATGTTTACAGGGGATTGCAATTGCTACTCCCAATTAGAGTACTGAATACATGGGATTTGTTAAATCAACATGCTTCTATAAAAGCTTGTGCCAAGTAAAATTTGTAAGACTTTAAAGTATCACAATACTCTTTGTATGTAAGTTGCACTGATTAATAGGTCTACTGTAGTTGGGACTAGCAATTGTATTTAGCCCTTAGCATTTCACAGTGTTTAGTGCATTATTATAGGCCACTGTTTTCTTGTACCATTTTTCCTCCCAAAATTCATCCACTAAAGAACTTCAGTTTTCATCAGCAATATCTCAGTTCATCTATAACTACAGATAATAGCAATCTAGTTTAAAAAGTATAAAGCATCATGTAAAAATGCATCCAAGTATTGGGGTTGGGAGACTGAAGTTTGAAACCATACTCAGGCAACATGCAGCTCCCGCTGGGAGATCTCGGTCTGGCCCCAGCTTTGCATGTAACTGTACCTGAGACTATTCCTGAGAGGATAAAATGTGGAGTTGGAAAAAACAATATGTGCTACAACATGCTACAGTATTTTGATCTCTCTGGACGAAAGGCAGGAGATTAATGCTATAAACAACCAAAATGGTGTTTGGAAGTAATCAATGAAGTGAGGCAAGAAGCTTTTGTCTGTGTGTTGGTGAAGTTTTGTCCAGAAACGTGAACCTTTGTGTACCACAATTCTTCTGTCCTGTCATGTTGTTTTAAAAAAGGAAGCATTATTCTTATGTATCTTACATACACCTTTTACTTTAACATTTCACTCAGTGTATGTCTTGTCCTTGTAATCGTTGTAACATCAACATAGACTTAAGAAAATATAGTGCTAAGCATTGCTATTGGTGGAAAAGAGGGTTTTCAACTAGATAATTTCAGTTGCTTAATTGTTTAGTAGGGAGATTGTTAATCAACCAAATGAAAATGAATCTACATATTTTGAAAACCATAATAAAGGAATCTTTTTGCAGCAAACTGATTTGGTACGTCTGTGGAAGACTTGTGCTGTTTAAGATGGAAGACCTAAAGTTTCTAACTTCTAATTCCTCATGTCACATTGCGCCTCCTATTTCATCCTGGAACAACACAGGCAGATTATAGGGACTTAAACTCAGCCTCTACTCCCACTCCACCCCTTGCTTACTTTTAACATTAGGAAAGACACAGAATTCCCCAAAGCATGCATCTTTTTTGTGCACCTCTGCACTCTTGTTGTGCCTTTTGGATTGGTTTATAATGGCATCAGCGGGCTGGAAAATTCAGTGAGTTAGTTACCTGGCTGTGGAGCCAGAGGTCGGGAGTTCAATTCCCACTGTGCCTCCCCGAGGTGCCAGCCTGGGTTGCTTTGTACAAGCTGCTCAGTCCCAGGATGCCCCCCAAAGAAGGGAATGATAAACCACTTCTGAGTACTCTCTACTCTATGCAGAAAATCGTGAGAAGGGTTGCCATGAGTCAGAATTGACTTGATGGCACACAGTTATTATTATTACATAATGGTATCATCTCAACACAGAGTTTGGAATTCACTGTGTCCAATATGGCTATCATTGCTTTTGTTTGTGACTTTCTGAATATCTAATCGAGCTGTTTAATAAATGGAAGCTTCCTTGCTAAATACCTACCAAGGAGGGAGTTCCAGTGAGCTAGAAAAGATGTCTTCTAATCAGAGAAGTTACATCTGGAAGTCACTAACTTCCTCTTGTGCTAGCTGGAATGCCTTCCAAGTCCTTTGGTCCTTTGGAACCAACCTACTGAAATATATTGAAATTTAATGTTTATGTCAAACTTTTCTTAAGCAGCAAATTCTGTAGTGAACATAATGTATTCTGCTATCAAATTTTTGGTCCTATTATTTTGAATTGTGACCGACATCTTCTCTGCCATTCTTTTCCTGCAGTAGCGATCCAGGGCAGCCTACTGGAGAAGTGTGGGACTGTTTCCTAAAAATAGTGCAATATACCTTAATATTGTCCTTTTGTTTTTACTCAAGAGGTGAAACAAAAAAGGGCAGAACACATCATATCATATGGAGATGAGAGTAGTAGCTAAGGATTCTAATAGCTGGCAGTCATGTGTATTTGACCTATTCATGCAGACAAGCTTACGATGAATCCAGTAAACCTGCAGTAGCGTACCCGGCCTTATGTGATTGGAACTGATGAGAAAATGCAGGAAGGCTCTAATGGAGGTATCATCAGGCTTGATGACCCCCCCCTTTGGGACAGCAAAGCTTAAACTTGACTTGTGAATGTCAGTAGAGTGAAAGATGTAGTGCTAAATCAAGCAGAGAATGACATCATCTTGAAATCTAGGAAGGGATGTACAAAGGATGCAGAAGTATATGTGGGATGCTGGACTGGTTCAGTTGAAGGATCCAGTGGTCTGAACATCCATCTTTCTGTACCTGCTGCTTCACTCATCGATAAACACTAATAGTGTTCAGTGCTGGTGGTCTTAACTCCCACCGTTCTTTAACAAAAATATTGGCTTTTCTCAATTGAATTTGGAGGCCACTGATAAAGATGCAGTTTACTGGATACAACAAATGCCTGCACCTCTGGGATAGCTTTAACCATTACAGTATACTCCTTAGGTCAAATTGAATGAGAGCCAGAACAATGAAATTATTCACAAGTTACCTTGCCTTTAAATGACTGCTGGCCTAAAATTAGGTTGATGCCTCGAGTTAAATTACTAGCTTAATTCAGCAATAGCATTGTCTTATGAAAAACTAATTACATGCTGTGTTAGTCTTATTTTTACTTGTTTAAAGATGTCCTTCACATTTTGAAAATATCTGAGATGGAAGTTATCAAGTGTCTGCAGAAAAGCTGTTGCGGGAAGAGATGAGTGAAAAAATACATCTGAGCTACCATTCTTCTTCCTGCAGTGATGTGGGGTTTTGTCTTCTGATATAAATGGCTTTGTAGTAATTTGTAGTCCTTGTAGCTTCTGTGGTTAGCAATTTGAAAAGCTTTCTATTTTTTTCTGTAATGCTTTTTAAACCTATGCCTATTGGCTATAGCATATCATTTCTTAATAAGCAGTATCAAAGGGTCCAAATGGGATTATATATCAATTTATTAATGGTAATTGCATGCACAACTTCCATATTTAAAAACCATTCTGTATTTTACTTACTTCTCTGACTAAACTTTCTGCTCCATAGATATCCTCATTAAATTGCCCATTAAGACACTTGGCGTTTTGGAGCTTTTGCCTAATCCCCAACTGTTTAATGCCTGTAACAGGCATTTGAGTTATTTCTTTCCTAAGCATTTCATTCTGCTAACTTCTCAGTGGTTTAATTGGTTTCTATGCAATACTGGAGGCTTTTTAGATTTATTTTTCATAATTCTATCCTTTAATAGTGTATTTTGCAGTCTTGCTTTTAACCTGGGCATCAATCCTGAGCTTGCTCCGGAAAGAAAGAAAAAATGGTTTGTGTCAACTGCATCTTAATAATGTATTAGAAAGAGGGAGAGAATGAAGCCACAAATGTATGAAATCAATAAGAAAGGTAGATTATTTTTAACCATGGTGGCACATAAAGGGCAAAATCTTTTTGCAGATTGGGGTTTAACCCAGATTTAAGATGGCTGGATAGCTCAGTGGTCTAGGCTGTAGAGCTAGAGGTTGGGAGTTCAATTCCCTATGACTCCTATGAGTAGAGCCAGCCTGGGTAGCCTTGGGCAAGCTGCACAGTCCCAGGGCACCCTCAGAAGAAGGAAATGATAAACAGATTCTGTGTATTCTCTACCTAGAAAACCCTGAAAAGGGCCACATTAAGTCAAAATTCACACGATGGCACATGATTATTGTTATTAACCCAGATGGGGTACCAGAAACATTTAATTTAAAGCAATTAAAATCTTCCCGTTACCTTGTTTTTAGGTTTTGAGGCTCCCTAGAGCTCCGTTTTGCCTTGGGAAGCCTTTGGGAGTTTATGGATATTGGGAAGAATGGGTTTAAAAGTAGAAAAACAATTGCTTCCAGCAGCTAACTTCCATCAGGATCAGTATGTACTGCAACCGAACAGTGATTTTTCACTATTAAAGGCTTTCCCTGCCCCATGCCGAGGCTCCCAAAGGCTTCCCTAGGCAAAAGGAAGCCTAGCGAGACTCAGAACCTAAAGGGAGGCAGATAGGAAGCTTTTTACTACTCTGAATGTAATGCTTCTACCACCTGATCTGGATTATACTATGCAACCTTACATCATCAGCATTTTACATCATTGAGCCTGTTCTCACTGTATGTTGGCACCAGTTGTATAATCTTCTATGTATTTAGTGGTGATGGTTATGAAGAAAGGCTGTCACATGACTCCGCTCTTTCAAAATATAATAGGGATATGAATTCTTTGCAACTCCGTGGCAATTCCTGATGCTCAGCTGCAGTAATGAAGTTCAGCATTTTAGGTCTGGTAGAATTCTCTCGTTAGACAACTTGAAAGACAGGCTCTGGAACTTAGTTTTAATGCAAAAGCTCTTGCAACAGATGTGTATGTTAAGAAATTCAAGTCCTCAAGACACATGCGTTAGCACATGGTTTGTTTT